CTACTTCCATTAGATTCCTATTGTACCCAATAAAATATTCGTGTGTAAACCTTTACTAGGTCATCTAAAACGAGAGTCAAAATACATAAATCCTCAAATGAGATAATCGTGATGAGTTCAAACTTAAGGACAAGTTGTACCCATCTCGTATGAGATTCATATAGACTAAACCAAATAAGTTCTCATAGCGAGTTAAGTTCTAGTGATATGTTCTATAACATAAATTACCTAAGTGCTTGCTTTAGCATCTTTATGTCAATAGGTGTGAGATTTCCTACTGCTATCATATAGTATGAGCATAACACTCATAAGTCTAATCGCATGTAGTCAATGTTTATTCTTGACCATGCTAAGACTTGGGACATTTAACGATATCATTTATATGCATTAATACTTATCTCACATCTTTCGATCAATCACTAATGTAAATACATATCGTATGGACTTCTATCTAATTCTATATAATGAATGAATGCAAATGACAAGAATTAATAGAAAGACTTCATTTATTATAATCAATATAAATAATGCAATAATGTAATAAGTCAAACCCATCTAAAAGGGTTGGATCTTGGGCACCTGCACTAACAAGGCTTGTCCAAAATGTTCATAATTGGAAAAGATCCTAAGTTCTATTTCGATTCATTAAGCAAACATGTAGGATCTAACTAAGTCTCAACAAGAGTCTTTTCTAGCTTAGAGAATCATAAAGAAAAGTTAGGGCTAACCAAATACAAAAGTGGCAATTGTAAAAATCCCAAATTACTATTACCACAATGGTAGTTATCTAAAAAAAACAAAAGAAGGTATCGTGAGTGTTTATCTATAGAAAAATCTATTAGGGCATCTTTTTTCTCCCTAAATCTAGCAACAAGTAGGTACGACCATTGTGTAGTGATGTGGGTGAATAAGCATAACTTCATATCTAATTGGAAAGAAAAAGAAAAGAGGAGAGGAAGTAAGCTACAAGCAAAAGCAATATAGTAAAATATAAAGCAAATAAATAGATAAAACAAACAAAGCAATACATCAAAGTAAATAAAGCAAGCAAAAATGATAGGTTCAATTTTGCTTGAAGTGGATTTGAAATTATGATACAAAATTCTTGTATACTATCAAATCTTGTTCCATAATGCTAGATTTGATTTTGCTACCTAAAGAGTTACCTATAGTTTCTTATGTTTGGAAAACCTTAGCTATTCCAAAAGTAGAAGCTTTCATCTACTTAGTAGTCTTTGGTAAATTACAAACAACAAACTTTCTTTTTTGAATGAGTTCTTAGATATTTTATGTCTTTTTTGTAAAAATACTCAAGAGATTGCTTTTCACCTCTTTCTCCATTGTTGTGACATTTGGCGGATCTTGTCTTACATTGTTTGTTGGTGGGGTTTTTCATAGGCTATCCCAAGATATGTGGATGATCTTTTTCAATAATGGAATTTTTATGTTCATAGGCATATGTAGAAAAAAAATTGGTTTCTTATTCTTTATTCTAATTTATGGTCGATCTATTTAGTGCGGAATGATATAATCTTTAATGGCATCAACTTTAATTAGGCAGATTTTCTCGCATTTGTTTTTAATAGAGTTGCATATTGAGCTAGATATGTTAGAGAGCATATATCTCAAATTGAAAAATTTTTTTTAAAAAAAGAGTAATATTTGAATGGAACTCAATCTTAACTATGTAAGTCTATATGGTATTAGAGCTTCAAATAGGCCCAATAGTCCAACAAAAATTTTAAAAGCCAAACCACTAGATAAATCCTAAAAGATGGGTTACAAGTGACGGAAGAGTGTTAGAAAATATATTTCACTTTAAATAATTACATAAAAAAAAGAGTAATATAAAAAGTTGTGAAAGGGCTAGCTATTATAAGGTTTAAGTGTTTTAGAAAGAACACAATATCAAATATTTGACTTTATAAAATATATTGATGGTCATTTTGTTATTCCAAAATTGATTTATTGCATATGTTTGATGGAATTAAAAGATGAACAAATTCATCAATAACTCACAATCCGAGTTAGTTTAGCTTTAATGTTTAGGGATGATAATGGGTCGAGTATAAAACGAGTACTCGCTTTACCCCGATCCTATAAATACCCATTAAGAATGTTTAATGGGTATTGAAGTAGGTATGAGTAAAAAAATACATACCTACTAATATGGTTTTACGAGTATAGTTACCCACTCTTTACCTTATTAATACCTACTAATTTATTTATATTTTTTTATTAATATACAAAGATCTAATTGCATAAAATTTAAAAATTAAGGATCAAAATATTTTTTTCAAAAAAATTAAGGACCAACAAAACTTATAAATAAATAATAATAAAAAAACTTTCTTAAACATTATTGGGGCTAAAATGAATGTTTTTGACAAATTAAATTTAGCATGTATTTAATGGATATTAAATGAGCGAGGTAAACTAGTATGGGTCGGGTATGAGTTGGGTAAAGATTTGTATGGTGATTTCGTAATGGGTAATGAGTAAGGTATTCTTTTGATGGATATGGTAAAAGATTGAATTAATGGATCGGATATCCGCCCATTTCCATCCCTATAATGGTTTTATTATTTTAACTTAGTTATATTTTTGAAAAGATATTACTTAGATTTTTTTTTAACTCATCTCTTAACCACTCTCTCCTTTACTCTCTATTGTCTAATATTAATCGATTTTCAAAATATTTTTTAAAAAAAACTAAATTAAAACCATTGGTTATTATTCATTACATTATTTGAAATATTATTCACTTAGACTTATTTGTACTATTCACCTAGATTCAAATACACTATTCCGTGATATTTTTGTAGTTTTCAAATATTTTTAATACATTTATTATGAAAGTTTTTATTATATTACACTTTAGTCTCTTTTTTTAAAATAATATTTTTTTAGTCTCGTAAATATTTTTTTCATTTGATTTTGGCCTTATTTTTTTGTTTCATTTTGATCACTTTGGTTCTTGGTTTTTTTTTCTCTCGATTTGTTTATTAAAAATTTCAAGGCCAAAAGATGTTTAGAAAAAATAATTTACAAAATAAGATTTAACTAAAAATGTGGATAGAGATAAATAAATAATATTTTTTAATAAAAAATTTTATGAAAATATAAAGAATAATTAGTTAAATACAAAATTTTGATTAAAAATTGATAAAATTGAATAAATTTTTATTCAGCTTTGATTTAATATATTTGGATAGACGTACAATATAACATGAGACATCAAAATGAAATAAATTTTTAAAAATAATTTTATGTATTTTGTTTGATCTATAGCGTAGTGTGAGTGAAAAAACCGATAATAAACTAGTGAATTTGGGTTACATCTTGAGTTCATTGTCAGATTGTCTCAAATAAATACAATTATCAAATAAGAGTTGTGAAAGAGTTGTCTCGAATAACTGTTTCTCTTTAAGTATTTAGAAAAATAAAATCTCTTCAAAACTAAAACCAAAGAAAATCAAATCACATGTCCAATTTAGAACTCTGAACAAGTCGTAACCTATGTTTATTTATTATATTTTTCTTTCTAATTTTTATTATTATTTAATTGTGTTTCATACAAGTCTTTTTTTTCTTTTTTTTTTTCCTTAAACCACGAAGATAACTATGTTTCTTGACCTTTTAAGGTACTCTTCGTTATTGATTCATGGTATTGCTTTCATTCCAACAATGATATGTAGGAGATGTTCCATAGAGCTCTTTTTTCCCTGGTCACAGGTAATTTGGACCATCCAAATTTATGAAGTTCTATGTGGAACTCTCTTAGTTGGTTCCTTGAGACTACGAGAGGCACCACTGGCACGTTTATATTGACTAAAAGATTCCTTATAGCTAATGCCACACGTCTGCCCCAAGATAGATCAGAATTGCTGTTCTTTTTACATCAAAAGGTAAATGCAATCGAATTTTTTTTTTAAAAAAATATATATACAAAAATTGGAAACCCGATAGCAAAACAAAATTGAACTTTTGTTGTCGCCCTTGTTGACGTTGCACTCGTGCAATGCATACAAAATCCATACACTCCCCGGTCACATTTCAGTAAAAACCCATGCCAATCATTTAAAAAATAAAAAATAAAAAATAAAATTCCTTGCCTATGAACCTGCATCTGCATGCAATGAATACCGCTTTGCGACCACAACCCACATGCAACAATGGGAGACATTTTTGACTCTCGACAAGGCAAAGACAAAAAATCTTTCAAGACTTCACAAGAAGTTTGGGTCCTTGAAATCAATTTGGGCCCAACTGAACCCTCTAATATCTTTACGTTGTTTTTACTCTTCTGCCCTTACTAGTCATTAAAGGAAAACTTTAAGCACGCCGTACCTCCAAAAGCTATTCTAATTTAGTTTGCTGCCCGAGCTATTCCTTTGACTTGTCCATATTAATTCTTAGTCTGTTCAGAACGAAATCGAAAACTCAATTATTATTATTATTATTATTATTATTTGCATGAATCAAATTCTACCATCTAAAAAAAACTTATTTTTCTTTTTGGTCTAAATGACATAGTGCTATGCTAATCGTTAAAATCCATTTTTTAAATATATATAAATATTAATCTCACATCAATTGTAAGAAAATTTTAATTATTTTATTTATTTAATTAACTTTTAAACTTTATTTTTTAAAACTCTTTCATTTATATATATATATACTCGACAACATATAAACTGAGACATATAAACTTCTATTTGTTTGAATTTTAATTATTTATCTTTTTATTTTTCATCTTTCATAAACTTGTGCTTATAATATATCATCTTTTTATTTAGTTAGTATGTCACTATTTTCACAAATCACAATACTAATTTTTAATAGTTTTACTGTTTTGCTAACCTATGGTTAACTTGTAATTAAAAATCACGTGCATAAGCTTTATGCTAGGTGCTCTATATTATCTATTGTCACCAAAGAATATTAAATTCCTATTTTTTGGAAAATTTAGAACATATAATGACTACTACAAGCATATATCATTCTTGCGGGAAGCATCTCCTTACACCGAGAGGTTCATAAACTCTTTGAATAACTTATGTAAGGTTTTAATCTCATAATAGAGGTCAATCATTTATGTGACATTATATATAAAGGACCATTATTGACTTCATATGTCTTCCTACATACAAATCGATGATATAGCGGGACCGAGTGTACTGGAGAGAAGCCTAGCTAACAGTATATATTAGATGCAACTGGCAAATTATTTTTTACTACCATGTAACCAGTGGATTAATGAACTTTGCTTCATATAGGATTACATCACATGTAATAGGGAGGATATAAAGGTAATCTATGGATGGAAATGTCAGCCTTCCCCAGTTGAGCAACGGATCAAAAAGTTTGAATAAAGTTATTTTGTGAAAAGAGAATTGCTTTTGAAAAGAAGGGTGACAAAAAAGAAATAAAAACGGGCCTTAATCAACTCTCTTGTGCACGCTTTCCTTTCGTGTAAACAAAACTCATTCTTTTCCCTAGCCCTCAATAGACCTTACAACTTCCTAGGCTTTTTTTTTTTTTTTTTTTTCAATATGAAAAGAAAAGTATGCTATCACACACTTTTTGGTAGAAAAAATATTATACTCACATTACACTTTTTTTTACAAGGTTCATTTTTATTTACAAAATACACTCATCTATTTGTCCATGAGTATTAAAAATCAAATTTGAGAATTCGAAAAATCTCAAAGACATTCACACGATTGAGTTCAAATGTCAAGAGAAGATGGATAACATGAGTAATGTCCATAAGATATGCATGGCGAATAATAGATCATCGCCAATGGTCGGAAGCATGCTATGATTAGACTAGTCACAAAACTATGTTGGTATTAAAAGACCAAGCATTTCAACTCCTCTCATATCTAGAGCAACATGGAGATAATTTAAGTTATGACCAAATATTTACTAGCACGATCATTTGATTTTTATTCTTCTATTCTTGATTTGTCCAACATAATATGATTCATAATCTTTTACCTTTCAAAAACAAAATAAAAATAAAACCTTGTTTTCACAAGTATGATCGATCACTAAAAAGCCAAAAAACGAAAAAAAAAAAAACTATTTTTTAGTCTCATACACAATCCCGTAATTGATATTATTCATGAAATATGATAATGCATTAAATTGCTTTATGATGACATTATAAGGATCTTATTTGGACTTAGTCAATAAGAGTTCTTTATTTATGAAATCGTTACAAGCTTCTTCAAGATGAATTATGGACGAGTCGAGATAAAAGACTACCTCAATCATTTTGGAGCTAGAATTCTTGATGAGAGTTGGCAAAAGTCCGAACATTTAGAGACAAGTATGGAGGAGGGCATAAAAGAACAATGATCTTTCATTTCATCATAAGAGTGGACATCATTCGGATGACATGAATGCCGGTCGGGGTGATCTTTCTAAACAAATACAAGAACCAAAGGCATTTGTCAAAAGTGTGATAAACAAGTAGATAAGGTCAATGAAAACAGATGGCATAGAACTTAAAAACCTATTCAACTTGGATCGTAAACAATGGAAGAAAAATAAAGTAAATGCGTTAGTAGTAATGATTTATACCTCTAACATGACAATAAGAATTCACCTCTAAGCACCTAGTAAGCTTATAATTTTGTGATGCCATTATCGATTCACTATTTTCCCAATTTATAATTTTGCGATGGCGTTATCGGTTCACTAACAATGCCATTTTTGATTTGTTGGTTTTCAAACTAGCAATGTCGTTATTGGTTTGTTATTTTTCAAATCTTATGATTTTGCAATGTCATTACCAACTAGTTCGTGATGTTGTTTTTGGTTTGTCATTATTCAAACTTATGATTTTGTGATGTTGTTATTGGTTCGCTCACAACACCGTTATCGATTTGCTATTTTTTAAAACGTTTTGATTTTGGGATGTCACTATCAATTTATTGGTGACACCATTTTTTATTCATCATTTTTCAAACTTAAGATTTTACAATGTTGTTATCAATTCATTTTTTTTTCAAATCTTATGATTTCGCGGTGTCGTTGATTTGCTAGTAGCACTGTTATCGGTTCATCATTTTTTAAAAATTTAGGACTTTGTGATGCCATTATAGATTCATTGGCAATGTGATTTTGATTTGGTTTTTTCAAACTTATGGTTTTGCAATGTCATTATCGAGTCACTCGAAGACATCATTTTCCATTCGTCAATTTTCAAACTTATGATTTTGTGATGCCGTTATCAATTTGTAGGCGATGCTCGTTTTAGATTTGTCGATTTTTAAACTTATGATTTTACGATGTTGTTATCTAATCCTTGGTGATGCCATTTTTTATTCACTATTTTCAAAACTTATGATTTTGCGATACCATTACCGATTCGTTGGTGACACCGTTATCGATTTGTCATTTTTTAAAACTTATGATTTTAATGAGCCATTATTAGTTTGTTGGCGATGTCATATTAGTTCATCATTTTTTTAACTTATGATTTTGTGATGCTCGTTGTCAGTTCATTATTTCAATTTTTTTTTATTTTACTTACAAAGCTTTCTATTCAAAATGAAAGAAAGTGACTTTTCAATGACTTTGCATCAAAAGCATTATAAAAAAGGCCAATTGTTAGCACCTAACTTTTTACCCAATTTTATTTAAACAAAATAAATACAAAAATTAAATATATAAAGAAGAAAAAAAGGGAACAAGATAATAAATTGGAAAGATAATTTTAGGGGTTCAATTAAAAGTAATATGCAAAATTAGGGCTAAAGAAAATATAATTGGGGATATAACTGAAAGGAATTAAAATTCAAGAGCCTTAGCTAAAGGTTATAAGGAGCATAATTGAAAGAAATTAGAATAAAGAAGTCCTAAATAATTTCAATTAGGGGATCATTGAAAGAAAACCAAAGAGATTTGTAGTGAAATTGAAAAAAGCGAGAGAAACCAAGGACTAAAATTGAACTTCTTAAATCATAAAAATCCCCCAATAAAAACCCATTTTTTATCTCTTGCAAAAGGAGAGGCATCCATTATTTATCATAGATTAAAAAAAAAAAAACACCTCCTCCATTATCTTCTCGAACCAAACCAACCACCACTAATGCACCCTACTCCATCGTCTTCTCCGACCACCACTAACGCACCCTCCTCCATCATCTTCTCCAACCGAACTAGCCATCACCAACAAACCCTCCTCATCATCTTCTCCAACTGAACTAGCCATCATCATCACACCCTCTTCCATCATCTTTTTCAACTAAACCAACCATCATCACAACCTTTAAACACCACATTAGCCGACCCAAAACCCCATAACCACTATAATCCATACCTAAAACCAAACTTCATAGCATTCTCCACATTACTCACCATTGAAACCACTAACATTGTCATACCAACTTCAACCTCCAGCCAAACTAGCCTCATCCTCACTATGAACCTAACTTTTTGAACAACCCACTAAAAATCCAACCTTACAGACCATTCCTTATCGACCTAGCCTTATCGAATGCTACCTAGCCCACCAAAATCCACCATTGTTCTTGAATTCTACCAAGCCCTAATTATTTTCTAAAAAATGACCACTCGTTTTTTTTAGTCTTGTCAAAGATAAAAAAAAGGTTTAGATTCCACTTCGTAGCCAAAAAATCACTCTCTACCAACAATCCAACCCCATCTCCTTTAATGCTAACTTTGTCTTCCAATAATAGCAATGTTGTTTTTTTAGGTCAGGAGGACCTTTCTTTAGAGGGTGTCATTTAGTTTGAGAAACCCACTTCTCTTGAACATCTTGAAAAATAGAGTCATATGGCTTTGCCGATTGGTGAGGATGTGTTGGTTTTTCTCTTATTCTCTATAATTGGAAAGTTTAGCCATCGTTTCTTGGTATTTGAATTTAAGACACTACAAACTATTAAACCTTTTATTATTGGGTGGTTTTTGGGTGCTTACTTTCTTAGGGGTTATGGTGAGAATAATCATAGACTCGAATGACATGTCTAAGGCTATTATTGCTACTACCAAATCATTGGCAATGTGGATTCCTCTAGGATTGATTATAAGGGCAACATTATCAAGCCACATTCCACCATATACCACTTTTTTAGTAACAATGGGAAGCACATATGTTTTACTTATTTCATAGAGAGTGATATTATCTAGTGTTCTTCCCAATTAACGGACTAAGAAGAATGGTGTATAACAATATGGTAGCCTATTTGAACTATTCGAGTTGCTTACATCATTGATTTGTTAGACCGAGAAATATATAGTCTAGATGTGGATGCTTGATTGTTATTCTAGATTATGGATTGGATTGACTAAAAATGAAGGACTTGAATCACCGAAAAAATGGCAGTCCCTTCCTATTTCTTGGTTAATTGAATAATCAATTTTCATTTATATTGAAGGAAGTGAAACTAACCTAAAAGAGGCATTGAGTAATTTTATTTTCTAGTAGCTATTTGGATAACTTTTGGAACCAACCGTACCCATTTATTATTTTCAATGAAAATGATATAAATTACTATCTTATTGTTTTTGAATGGTTAAGATTAAAAATATCAATTTGAATGTGTTTGAAAAACATTAAAGTGTATTTAGATACATCATTATGCATCGAATCCGAAAGGTTCGGAGATCCCGAAGACTTTTAAGGAGAAATAAAGGTCAAGATTTAATGCTCTATGATGGAACTTAGAAGACTGCACATGGGCTTTAGTTTTAGTAGTTTATTCAAAAGAGTGTTGGTCCTAATGTTCGCATTTGTGAATGATCTTACTTTTATGATGTCGTTTGACTTAAACATGATGTCATACCATGTTAGAAATTTATGCCATATTTGTTTGTCCTGAATGTTATGATTTAAAGTCAATGGCGACATTCCACTTATGTGAAGGAAATCATCGATGGCTTTCCAAATAATATGATTTGAAGTCGATAGAGACTTTCTAAACTATATGAATCGAAGTTGACGATGGCTTCTCATTTTTGTGAATGACGATGTCAAAGACTTCCTAAATAATGTGATAGTGACTTCCTAAAATTTATGAATTAAAGTTGTCGATGGTTTCCCACTTGTGTGGATAAAGTTGTTGATGGCTTTTAAATATTTGAATGACTTTTTATTTATATGAATTGAAGTTGTCGGTGGCTTTTCACTTGTATAGATGAAGTTACTAGTGGCTTTTAAATATTTGAATGACTTCTTACTTATGTAAACTAAAGTCGACGATGGCTTTTTACTCGTATAAATGAAGGTGCTAATGGCTTCTAAATATTTGAATGATTTCTTGCTTATAGGAACTAAAGTAGTTATTGGTTTCCAGATCATATAGATGAAGCTACCGGTGGCTTTCAAATATTAGAATGACTTCCTATTTGTGTGAACTAAAACTATCAATGGGTTTGAACTTTGTGGATGAAGCTACATACGACTTCTAAATATTCAAATCATTCTCTATTTATGTGAACTGAAGTCGTTAGTGTCTTTCAAATCAAGTGACACAATTCGTCGATGGCTTTCAAATATTTGAATGACTTCTCGTTTGTGTGAACTAAATCCGTTAATGGCTTTTCACTTGTATAGACGAAGATTTCTAAATATTTACAAAATTTCCTTTTTGTGTGAATCAAAGTTACCGGTGGCTTCCTACCTTTGTGGATAAAGTCATTGGTGGGTCGTTTGATAAACGAAGTCACCGATGGTCTTCTAATTATATCGATATGGGCTTGTAATTCCTAAAGACTCATCTATTTGTCAATATAACTTTGTAATGGCTAAGAGTTAGTCAAATTTTTAATTTTTATCCACATTTTCCCTTCGAGTATGGGTATAGGCCTTAACCAACCTAAATCCTAAATTACTTAACCAATTTATTTTAATGAAATAAATTCACTTAAGTAAGTATCTATTCATAACATAGTAAGACTTGACCTTCTTTTTCACATGCATAAAATACGGTCTACCTTGGGTAGGACATGGTGATTGTGATATTAATCTTTTCCCTACATAACCAACCCTTTATCCAAATATTTGTATAGACCAATTTATTTTAAAGTTTCCTAGTTTCCCTAATTATGGCAACTCTATCCACGCTCATGCCCTTATCAACAAATATAATGACAAATTCATTCAAAAAAATTTAAAAGATTAATCAAATTTCAAAACATGATAGAAGGATGTTATGGGTAATTTCTTATTTTATTAAAGCTAAATATACCTTTTCTTTTTCTAATAATCTATCCGACCAAAAAGCAAAGGGCAAACCTCCTTTTTTTGGAATAAATTTTTTTCCTTTCCTTAAATAAACCCTTGAGAGAAAATTTTACCTAGAATAACATTGTAAAACCTAAGATTAGAATCTAAATAGTTAATATCTTAAATAATGATGAACAATACATTTTGTGGTTATGATATCAAATTACAATCATCATTTCTTCTCTTTAGTAAACCTAAGGGTTTTCTAAACCGATCATTGCTTGCAAAAGAGATTAGTATTTATTAGAATAGATGAATCAACTTTTAAGATTAAGAAAGATCATCTTTCATATATCTCATAAATACTTATACCCTTTGTCGTCTTACTTTGAACCTTGATGATTTTTTTTCCAATAACCTAGATTAGGATCACCTTTCACACTAGGGGTAGAACATGAAGTCCATAGATGATCGATGAAACTCTTAAAAAAATTTCAGAAGAACCCCATTGATGATTCTAAAAACACATGAGAAAATGAAAAAAAAAAAAAAAAAAAAGAGCATCCCTAATGCAAATTATAAGTCAAAATAGAAGTACAAAATTTAAATAAACCGGAATTGATCGTAGATAAAGGATTTTGACAATCAAAATGGAAAAATCAAAGCGATAAACCTAGAAAAATTATTATGAATATCAACATGATACAAAAGCCTAACTAACGACTAAAGTGATAAAATCCAAGTAGTATTGCCTAAAACAATCTATATGGACACAAAGTAATCTTATATCTTAAGATCCTTAAATATGTTTTGAGTTTTTATATATCCATTCTTTCATGAAGTCAAGCTCTAGCTTATATAATGTGCTTTTACAAGGTTTTTCTAATAAAAAATAGTTTGGTCTATGCTTGATGAATTTTAATCTCAAAAGAAGAAGAAAATTGATTGAAAGTGGTTGAAAAAAACTCAAAAAAAAAAAAACAAAAACGAAAAATATGATTGGTTGGTGTGTTGCTTGTCATCCTTTATGACATCAAATCACAAGTTTTCATCAAATAACTTGAGGGAAAGAAATAAATAAAATCAAGATATTTTAGACAAGGTTATTCTTGAGAATCTAATTTTTTAAAATACCTTCTACTCAAGCCTTTCCATTCATCAAAATAGACTTATCTTTTGACCATTTACCTTCAATAGCATACAAAAACTAATATTTCTAGAAATCTTGCATGACTCAAACACATTTTGCACACATAGCTTAGAAAAATAGTAACTTGGTAACTTTGCATCATAGTATTTGAATGTCATGTTTTGCTTTTGACCAACCGACTTGAACATCTTCATGAATGAAAATACTTTTATTAAAACATCTCTATATTTCTTTTAAATAATTTGAATTGTCTTTAAGAGAATTATTTAAGTTCACATCATAATCCATAAAAAAAAAATCAAATGCTTATCTAATGATTTTTTTTTCAAAATACGTTAAAAATTTTAAGATCAATTTACAAATTAAGATGTAAACCTTAAAAGATAAAAGTTGAACATAAGCAATGATTGTGTAAAGAAAACAACAAATATATGATCTTAACCAGTACTTAGGAGCACACCATGATCCAATATAAATGATAATTAGCAAAACCAAAAATACTTAGAGGTAAGGCCAATGATCGCAAAACTCAAATTAGGTTCAACAACTACTCAAACAATGACATCAATAAGCCGACCGGAGAGATGATGGCTTAAACAGCAAGCATTTAAGTATTAATTAAATTAATTGAAGCAATCAAACCAAGGGCCAAAAGAGTAGTCTTAAGATAAGATGATAACTCAAATGAGTCTAGCAAGTAGGGGTGATCATTTGGTTAAACGGTTTGATTAAGCATAATTCGGTTTGATTTTTGGTTAATCGAATTAGGAAAAATAAAAAACAAAATCAAACCAAAACAAATTCGGTAATTCGGTTTGAAACCGAATTATTTTGATTTGGTTTTGAAATAATTCCGTTTAACCAAGCTGCTTGTAAGAAAAAAAAGGTCTTGTGATCCTATCCGTCCTAGTTTCTTGAGTGGAAAAAACGTATAGGCTTGAGCATACATTGATTTTACCGGAGATCTAGCAACCAATCCCACATTCAATCTAAACTCTTAAGTCTCAATTAAACTTCAATAATAAAATCAAGTCATGATAGCAACACTCACATGGAAACAATGGTTACGAATCCGACCATCTACAACTTACATGCAACCATGAACCAACACTCAATTGTATTATTAGAAACTATTTTTTTCAGCACTAATTTAAAATCTAACCATCCCTTGGAAGGGTAAGTCCAAACTAAGAAAATAAGCAAAAACATGAAGGCACAAGACTAAAATTATAGGCACCCTCGAGGCGGGACTATTCAAATAAAGAATTACTACGAAAATAGAAGATAAATCGGGAATTAGTATTTGATAGAAATAAAATCTATTCTCACGAGTCATAAGTTAGAAACATGTTGAAACAATATGGGAAAAAGAAAGGAAGGAGCTAAGATGCATACAACAAAGACAATGCACCAAATTACTACACCTCCGTAAAGAAAATTGCCCATAATAAAGTGAGGTCTTACATCGATGTAGTCTTGCTTTGCTTGGATAGCCTTGAGCCTCCTCCTACGGTTGACGAGTCCCACACTCTTACTTGCTAGGTTGTACTGCATTTTAATTTAGAAATATTACTAGAAATTAAGATTTAATTGTTGTAGCGAGTGATAAGTTTTCTATAGATAGTATATATTAACATCAACACTAAATTGAAGAAATGTTGAACTTGACAATGGATTGAAGAAATGAAAGGCTAGCTCAAGATATTTTTTCTAAACAATTGAATGAAGGATACA